TCAGGCTCCTGGCAGGTAGCAATTCAATTCCTGGAGGCTCCAAAGAGGTGTTCCTAAAGTGATGTGTAGCGAGGATCGAAGCGAAAACATTGTTCCATTTTGGTACGCGCTTTCCGTATGAAGGCCTGATAAAATCATTCCAGGAGCGAGGACTTATCTACTTTTGTTGTGGATTTGGAGGCCTCCAGAAAGGGCTCAATAGTGGCCCTCTTGCAACATAGCCCTGACGTGGGACGACCGGCTGGAAGGCCTTTTGTGGTAAAGCTCGCCAGAGAGCTCCGCAACAGGGTTTGCAGAAGCCTGCCGCACAGAGTCAGATTCTGACGATGAATCAGGCACAGTGTGGTGGGCGCCACTGCTCAAGTCCCAATTGTCCAGGCATGCGCAGCCAGGTCGTATCCCAGGTCAACCGATAACCGTGGTTAGCGCTTGCTGTGGGTGCTGCTCAGAAGCAGAATGCCGGAAGGCTGGTTGTCGGGAAGTGCTTTGCGTCACGTTCACCTCGAAAACCCCATGATAGATTATGATACAGGCTACAGAACCTGTCAGGCATGGTGCGAAGAATGCATCACCATGGGCCATCTGATCAAAGTTGCAGGGGCAGGCTTCTTTCGTGTTGTATGTGATGCAGCATGCTGTGAAACACTCCTGTTACCAGTCATGTCTGTCACTTTTGACTTTCGAATTCCAATGAGTGATTGAGAGCTGCCTGTGCAAGATCCTGATCAGAGCCTCTGGAGACGAGTTTCTTTAGAGTAGGGTAGAAGCAATCCTGCGCACAGGTTCTGGGACTGCCGTATGTCCTGCAAAGCATGTTGGAGGGCTGCCGCAAATTAGGACTACGGGGTAGATGATGTTTTCGTGTTGCGATCTTTTAAGATCCTCCTGACACATCATCCAGCATGTCAGAAAGCAGCGTCTTGCCATTGGATAAGGCCGTTTCGGTCTAAGTCAGTGGCTATTTTCAGTGTGCGTTGTCATGCGGATTCCTTTCCATCTGGGTGGCCGCTTGACTTGTGAATTGGTGTGTCGCTGAAAAAAGCTGCATACCTGACTTGCACGCATGTTGGCAACCTCTGCTGGCAACTGGAACTGCTGGGCCACCCAGGCATCCTGTGCTCAGACCTGTTTCTCTGGCCGATCATCAGACACGAACGTGGCATATGCTTCTGATTGTAGCTGTAGAGCTCAAATTGCATCATTTGGGGCTCCACCTCACTTCCAAACGTAACACGGTACTGTCGAACCAGATGTATCTCCTTTAAGTTAACGCATCTGAGGCTGACTGAATACTCCAGATATGAGCACTTGGTGAGACACATTTTCAGGGTTTGGCTTGGTTTCTTTCGCTCCAGGAGGGAACAAGGCACAGGGCAGCGCCTCCAGCGTCGAACATTTAGCCAGTGAAGCAATGACAGCGCAAGGAGGCCTACATTTCTGCCTTGTGCGTCAGGGAATTGGTTGGTGCCTGTGCGACAGGTGGGATGCAGGAGGACATCGGCACCAACCGGGAGGTGGGGCTACACCTCACATTTAGGAAACAGAGCTGTTACAAGCCCAACGCTGAGAGCGAAAAAATGGCACGCAAAATCACAGCTAAAGTCAAAACTGTGGAGGCAAACAGCAAGAAGCGGAAATGACGAGCAAAGTGCAGAAGACAGCATTTTAAAAAACCGCTAGACAGAGGTTGCAACGGAAGCGTTTTAAGCAGCAAATAATTAACATCCAAATAACCCGTCCTTCATCCAGACATGCATCGAAACATCATTCCATCCATGGATACATCCATCAATCCGCCCGTCCCTCGGACCGTCCCTCCGTCCGTCCCTCCGTCCGTCCTCGCATGACTCCGTCCCTCCGTCCATCCATCCATCCATCCATCCATCCATCCATCCATCCATCCATCCATCCACAACAATTATCTTGTTAGTACCAGGATTATGACTGTCATTGCTTTTCAGAACGTTCCCCCATCCCATAATTAGCTCATGCCATCCTTTTGCCATACTTTTGCCAACCTTCTCGAAGACCACATGCCATCCGATTCGAAGACCACCTCCGCCTTCGCCACCTTGCACAGCATGTGGCGCTGATGCATCTGTAGCGTGGGCACCATTATTCCTGAGCCGAGAGTGAAGGCGAAGGTGAGGCTGTGCATGATGTTGCTTGTCACTTGTTTTGCATCTTCACCTGCACGTCAAGGCTGTTGCCCACAGCTTACCAAACAAAGAGGTGAGAAGCATCGGCGCCCACATGGACATCAAACAAGGCAGAAATCACACGATCAGAAGCAGGGCTTGACCTCTTCTCCGAATTCGAGTTAGATTTTTGAAGCGCGGCAGTTCCTTCAAATGTGTCAGCATCATCCTGTGCCAATGGTTCCAAAGGTGCAGCTGGAGCTCCGCAGTTCCCGAAAAAGCAGCTGATCGGTATCTGTACAAACAGATTTAAACAAAGATGCTGACTTCCAGGACTGCTGTAATATCGCAAACACAGAATGCAAACGCGCTTGAACAGAGTGCCAAACCAGAATTGAAAGTGTACAGACATACACACTCTGACGAGGCAAGCAAGACCTCCTCTTGTCGATTGAACTGTCATGGTTATTCACATTGTGCTGCCAAAGACGTGATTTCTGCCCAAAATTTGCCACAAACTGCCAACATGCATGTCAACTCAACCCGGTTTCTTGAAAGTCTATGCCGTCAGGTCGCCGCCAGACTGTCCTAGAAAAAAACGCCGTACCAATGAAGGAACAACGATCACCGCACAACGTAAAAGTAGAGAATCACAGTATCACGGGCTGCAGGCACAAACTTGAGCGTCCCCAAGTGCTTCCACTGATGTGTCATGGCTTCGTTGGACAACTCCGGTCCCCCAGATTTATTCTGCAGCAGATCAGCTGTCACACACAGCAACGGGTACCGTTCCTGCTGGCAGTATAGCCCTAACTAGACAAGTTCTGAAAAATGTTGAATTGCCTATCTGATTGCGGATGAAAGCGGCACACACTTGCGTAAAGCAAGTCATGGGTTGCCGCTTAGATAACTTCACAATGCTAAGTACAACGTTGCATGTAAGGCAGCAGAATGTCGAGCGGGACGGTACATTGAATCCAAGCACGTGGAAACCATTCTCACTTGTGACAGTAGATGCCATCAGTGGGCAATTCCATTGTGCAAGCCACTGCTGCGACATGATCCCAGAGGAATCATAAAGCAACAGCATCAAGCTAGTCGCCGCAAGTTTGCAGCGTCAACCTGAAAAACCTGTGGCATGAGAGATCAGCGGAGACCACAGGCATTGAAACGTCCTGATGCAAGATCTTGGATCGGCGGCCGGATCAAGTGTGCCACGCGCAGCTCATAAGCAGCGTCGCAATGTCTTCCAGCAGCGTTGTTCATGGGACTGTCTGACGCACAAGCAACATTTAGTCCTGGCTAGAAAGAGAACCACGTCATGTAGAAAGGTGGCAGCTCACCTGTCTGAGGCATACCAAAAAAGCTGTCAATACATGTTGCATCCACTCCGCAGACACGTTAATCTCCCCCAGATTTCTCGGCTTAATTGCCAAAATCCGCAAGCCCATGCGTGAAGGGACAAGAAGAGAAGCAAAGCACTGAAAGCATCAAGATGAGATCAGAACAAGAAATCTAAAGTACCAGTCAGTACCACAGCTACATGGGATCTCAAATGTCCGTGTTCCCCCAGGACTGATATCTGATAGCTGTATCGGTGTCGGCACGATCACGCAGAATGCAGACGCAGGCCTGCATTCCCATGTTCCAGCAGAAGGACTCCGTTGTGTTATTTGCTCGCAAGTACAACAACTCAGGTACATCAACTGGTACCATGTGCCTGCATGAGGCACTCGTTCTGGAGAAGCAGCGAAGCGTCAAGCCACGCTAAAAAATTCAATAGTACCGACCTTGCGACCTTGCTCTTCGCCTGGTACCCACCACAAGCAAAGATGGCACTGCCATCACTTAAATCGTAGATTTGTTCATTTTCACTGACTTTCATGCGTACAACTCACAATCCTTAACTTCCCCATTACTCCTTCGAGTCCACAAGCAGTCTTGCATGCAGACATGCAGGCTGGGCCAGCCACGGTCCGCGTGCTCAGCTGGTCTTCAACCTCCAAGGAAAAAGAAACCGTTACTTCAAAGGACTTCTGGCTTCACACATGCGGGGGTTTGCACATTCAAACGTAGCCTTGTCCTCTTGCAAAGGTGCCACTGAAGCTGGAGAACCTGTGACATTCTCAGCAAGCAGGCGACCCAGCTTTTCGGGACAGCATACCGGGACAAGCTATCAAACCTTCCTACTGCGTACTAGTATCATTGAATCAGCCTTTGCGCTGACATTGAATCCCCACCTCTCGCAGCAGCGCAGGTACACATGCATCCGAGCAAAGCTCATAGCAGAAGCCAGGATGAAAGGAAGGAGCTGCGCACGTTGTCATTCGGTTGCTTGTGGTGTTTTAGTAGCGGAAACCCTCGTGGTCTGCTTTTGTTGCGAGATTCAGGACAGCAAGTGCATGGTGAGACAGACAAAAGTAGTTGTAAACTCAGGCAGCTCTGTGCGGCTTAACAGGTTTACAGCTCACGGCTGTAGCCAATTGCAATCCACGCAACCAACACTTGAACAGGCCGGCGACAGAACTCGGCTCGTCTTGCTAGCAACGTCCACGAGTTGCATAGGCTACTGGCACCCAGCTTTTAACGGAGTCTGCAGCTGAAGCGGTCGTCTAGCTGCTGTGTCTGTATAAAGAATAGGCGAGCATGTCTGGCTCAGGCGACCGTGGTCATCACCATCACTTTGGGCAATGCCACTATTGATACGCTGGAGAGCTGCATTCTGGTTGGAAGGTCTGACTTGGCAGCTGCTTGGTGCAGTAGCAGCAGCAGCAACAAGCACACCCTTTCATACACTGCCAAAAGTTTGGTAGAAGGCCCCGCTTATTCTCGAGCCATTACACTATCCCATGTCCAATGCAGCTACTGGAAGTAAACGATGCGGGACTTCTCATCGGACGGTCCCAGGGCGGACTTCTGGGCGACCACATGTGCTCCCACCTGGTCAAGATAGAGCACCCCAATACATGATGCTGGGAAACATATGACAGAGTCCATGCGGGATACAGCTAGCACAGAGCATCGGCCAGCAAAAGCCAGGTGTCCAGCATCCACAGGCTTTGCAATAAGAATCTGACCTTGCTGTTGGCAAGGTGCTAGAAGCAGAGAAATGGCGGATGTAGACCACACTTGACAACATCTTTTAGGACCTCAGCGCCGAACCGTTTACAAGGCATTCCTCTCCAGCTGTCAGCATCGCCTGGCAGTAGCTTCTTGGAGTGTAAGAAACAGGTGAAACAATCCGTTCACTCATCCGAGGAAGATGTGTCGGCAGTTATACAAAATGGGCAGTCATCCCAGGAAGCACCCCACCCGTTTGGCAAGGCATCACGACCAGTGGCTCTACAGAGTCAAGCTCCAAGCATGCCTGCACTTGCTGATCCATCTGATCCTGTCAGTAGCATTGCTTCTTCATGTTCTGGGGCTCAAAATTGCCCCTCCATTGTTGCCGCCGGCCACCAACCCCCAGAATTTCCATTGTATACCTCAAAATGCAAGATTCGGCCACAGCAAGAACACTGCAAAAAGCAGGGCGATTGCGGGAGGTCAGACAAAAATGGCGGGCAAAGCTTTGGGAAGCCAAAATGTATTCTCCATGACGACAACTACATCTAGCAACGGTGGCATGAGCATTGACATCTTCTTGGGTCCTTGTGCAGGACAGCTTACCTTCTACGAGTCGTCCTGTACTCCGCCGACCCCGGCCTGGCGGGGCGTGCGCACAGTGAAGCCTCTTCGTTCTTTGGC